GCTGGGACCACACCTGTAATCCCAGCAACTCAGAAAGCTAAGGCAGGAAGTTCAAGTCTAGCATCAGCAATTTAGCAAGACCTGATATCAAAATAATAATAATAATAGTAATAATAATAATAGATGTGACATAGTAGTACAAACTTTAAAAATAAAATAAAAATAAAAAGGATTGGGGATGTGGCTCAGTGGTAAAGCACCCCTGGGTTCAATTCCCAGTACAAAAAAAATAATTATTTATTTTTTTAAATTAAAGCTGTCAACATTTAGGAAAACTGCCTTCAAGATACCACCATAACTTTGGGATGATATTTCACAATTTGTCCCTTAGAGTGCCTAAAGAGAAGCAGGTGAGGAAAAGCCAGCGGCCCTGCTTTTCAAACCCCCACTCTGAGTCACAAGTCCCCTCTACAACCTTACTTCTCTGCTAACCTTGAGGTGAGAGGATCCACACACTGGTGGTAGCAGTATGGGTGTTGCTGATTTCTGTGGTCATGGTGGGAAGATTGGTGGCAACTGGGCCTTGAGGTTTCTGCCGGTACCTTCTGCGGCTACACTTGAACATACTGGGAATCCGGGGACGGGGCCAACCCATACCTGGCCTACGGTAAGGGGAACTCAGGCCCCGGGGCCGAGGGGCACGGACAAGCTGAGAAGGCCCCATGGGCATAAGAAGCTTCTGCAGTGTGCCCGAGGGGTGTTGCTGACCAGGGCAACTAAGGCCTCTATGACATACAATCTGCTTAAGGGTAGTGCTCTTTATTACAGGTCCTGGCCCCCCATGGAGCCGGCTCCCTCACAATTTTCTTCATTGGGTCCAACTCAAGAGCTAGATAGAGCTGGGTTGTCCCTTGGGTAAAAAAATTCTAGGTAGGGGGGAAAAAAATCACTCAATTTTTTCATTTATGCACATTAACATTATTAACAATGTTTATTGAGCACTTGTTATATGTCAGACACTGTGTTAAACACTTTAAAAACGTTGTCTAATTTCATGATAAACTTACAAGAAGATTCTATTATTATCCCCATTTGTACATAGTCAACTTTCTTTATTCCCTGTAGTTATGTTCCACAAAGTCACCACAAACGTTAACCAATTTTGTATAATCCCCAGGGGAAATGCACAGGTTGCTACAACTCTCAGTCACAACATTTTCTGAAAATGTTTAATGATCAACACATAACCTGTTTTTTGTGTGTGGAGATACCTTATTTAATATATAGAATTGAGTCATTAACAATGAACTTGTGGCCAACAGAACTATAATCTGTGCCTGATTCAAGTTTATCTAACATATTCATTTTCTCTAAAGCACATTATAAGCTTCTTGTGCTTAGGAACCTAGAGGATACTTTAGCACTACTACTAGGAGCTATTTTAACCTGCAAAATCACCAAAAAGAAAAAAAAAGTGAAAAAACATGGCATTAAATAGACTCTCAAAACAACATTTGTTTATGAGAGCAAAAAAAAAAAAAAAAGACAGAGTCCCCTTATTCAACAGACCTCAGCTGGAAATGTATATGTGTTTGGCAACTCAAATTTTTTACCTTGTCAGGTATGGTGGCACATATCCGTAATGCTAGCTCCTCAGGAGGCTGAGGCAAGAGGATAGCAAATTGAAGGCCAGCCTCAGCAACTTAGGGAGAGCTTCTCTCAAAATAAAAAGAGGTGGGGATATAGCTGTATGGTAGAACAGTTGCTTAGGATGTGCAAGGTTCTACGTTTGATTCCCAGAATGAAAAAGAAATATTTTGATTTTTACTTTGCTATGCATGTACACAAATGACTGCAAAAGTGTCACAAGTATTCGTTTGGGGTTAAAAAATAATTTTAATGTAGGTAAATTTACAGTTATGGAATCCATGAATAATAAGGATTGACTGTATAAGAAAATTGAGGCTCAGTGAGATGAAGTAACACAATTAGAGGTAGGCGGTGGTTCAGGTCCATGATGGTCAAGGTCCAGAGCATTATCTCTTGCTATTCTGTGCTCATTCATTCATTCAGGAAATGTTCACTAACAACTTCATATTAGTGTGGGCACTGGGGACATATAGAAGAATGTGACCTGTTAGATGAAAGAGAAAGCCTTATGAATAATCAATACAAGTGGAAATGTAAGGGTACATCTGTGTACATCTCCTTTCTTGTAGATAGGGGCTCTGCCCTGCTTTGCACTGAGTTGGGGGACTTGGACTTGCCTTTCCCTCTATAACTCAGCCCTCTATCCCTTTCCCTTCTACCCTAATCTCCACCTTCTGTCCCATAGAAGCCTGCTGGAAGATGGTAGGGCCCTCAGCACTACTGTGGCAGATCTTACCATCCCTGACTCCAGCCTCTACTCTCCTTATCCTCAGTCTCAAAATATGACCTTGCCCCACCAAACTTTAGCCACTTACCTGTAAGACTCCCTGCCCCTCCTTTTCCTCAGATCTAGGACCAAGGCCTTCTCCCCTGCTCTTTATTGAAATCAACCCGACCTGCCTCCTTAGATTCCATCTGAGTTGGCATAGTGGTTAAGAGGTGCACTCCTGTGTCAGGCTGACTGACAGGTTGATTCCAAATCATACAACTTGTAAGTGGTAGACCCAGGGTTCTATTGATCATGGCAAGTACTTAATTTTTCTATGCCTCCAATTCCCCATATTTAAAATGGGGATTAAAAAGAAAATATCTCATAGGATTGTTGTGAAGGAGGAAAAAAGACAATATATGTAATGCATTTTAAGCATAATCTGTATTATTGCTTTTTTAAAGACTAGTCTTGATAGGTTGCTAAGACTAGCCTTTTGGTTTTTTAAAAAATTGTTTTTAGTTGTAGATGGACACAATAACTTTATGTTTATGTGATGCTGAGGATCAAACCCAGTGTCTCACACATGCTAGGCAAGCACTCTACCACTGAGCTACAACCACAGCCCCTCAGACTGATCTTGAACTTGTGGGTTTAAAGGATCTTCCCACCTCAGTCTCCAGCAACCCAGTTTATAATCTTCAGTATTATGATTCTCTCTCTCTTCTGTTTGTTTAGTTGCCTCCTCCCACTTAATTATAAAAAATTTAAAAATATACTTCCTGGACTGGAGGTGTAGCTCATCCCTTAGCCCTTGTGCTATATGGCTCTTCCTTCTGACTTTGCTCTATGCTCTTTCCCCTGTGACCTAGAGCAGGAAGAAAATCCCATTTTAAAACCCCATACCTATTCAGACCAGGAAACAGATGTTTAAAAACAAGCCTAAGAAAAGCCACCAGGATCATACAGCTAAGAAATGACAGAGCCAAGATTTGAACACCCAGTTTGAGTAACTGGAAAGCCAGGGCTTTCCCAACACCTCTTCATCAGGAATGGTGGAATGGGAAGTTAAGGAGGTAGTCCTGGGAGGACTGATGAAGACAGAGGTTATAGAGCCTTGGAACTGGGGTGACTCCTTTGTGGGACCATGATGCCACCTGCTGGCAGAAAGAAAAAGGGTATGCACAGAATGCTAAAAGAAGACTGGAGAGGAAAATATGGGGAAGGAAAAGAGAGGGAAAAAAAGGGAACTTAAGGTTTTATGGAGGGAAAAGGACTGGGAATCATGTGCTACTCAGAGAACAGAAGCTGCCAAACTTGGTCATTTTCTTGAAAGTGTGGCTGGTGGGCTGGGGGTGTGGCTCAGCAGTAGCATACTTGCCTGGTATGTGTTGAGGCACTGGGTTCAATTCTCAATACCACATATAAATTTAAAAATTAATTTAAAAAAGGTCTATAAACAATTAAAATAATATTAAAAATAATAAAATTTTTAAAAAGAAAGTATGGTTGGTGTGTGTGTGTGTGTGTGTGTGTGTGTGTGTGTGTGAGAGAGAGAGAGAGAGAGAGAGAGAGAGGCAGACAAAGATAGACAAAGAGGAAGGCAGAGGCAGATGCAGAGTGTCTTAAAATATGTATCTCAGATATTCTATTGATTCTATTGTTTTTTAGTTGCTGGGAGTCAGTGCACAAGGAGTCCCGAGTGCATGCGCACACACATGTGTGCACCAGTAGCTGTTTTTAGATATGTGACTATGTGTTTGATGTGTGAACATATGTATGACAACCTGGGGAGATGTGCTCTCAGAGCCGTGAGCATAGGGTGTGGAGGAGTGCATTAGCAGAAGTAGGATAAGAAGTATGTGTGCACTGTTGTATGCAGGGCACTCAAAAGTTCTGGAAGCCACTTGCCTCAGTCCCATCCTTCTCCCCCTTCTTGAGATCAGGAGAAGCATAACCCATGGGTGACATTTCTAGGCGGAGGCCCATTGCTGCTGTGGTGATGGGGACCAATCTCCAGGCAGCAGAGGGCAGTAGGGACAAGGGGAGGCTGATTGCCATGGGTGGGGCCAGCGAGCGGGCAGAAGGAAGCTTTTAAAGCGCCTGCCCCACCTGCAGGTGAGCACTGGTGTGTGAGAGCCTGCCTGCCTTGCCGGTTCACAGAGTGGAAGCTCCCTGGAGCTGTTCTGTTTTCTTCTGAAGCCTCAGCAGGATCCCTCTCAGAACTAGCTGCCGAGAGGTCTGAACAGGTGATGGTATAGGATAGAGATTATCTTGTGAAGTGATATTAATTTTGAAATTCGTTTGAAGATCTGGAAGAGCCATGGGGAGGGTCCTGGAAAGGTCTGGATTTGCTCTGGAGAGCAGCCTAGAACATACAGGTGTTAAGTAAGGGTATATGAAGTGACCTACCTGCAGTGTGGGAGTAAGGCTTGGGGTGCTCGTGCAGGAGTCAGGGGTGTTAGGATCCCAGAGACGCCAGTACTGGCAGAAGGTCTGGTACGTAGTATAGGTGGGTACAGATGTCAGGATGGGAACTTTGTAAAATCCTGAGGAGTCCAGAGTTCAGATGCAGAGAAAGCTTGATGAGATATGGGTCCAGGATGTTGGGGTCTGGTGTGTTGGGGTGTAGAAGGCAGGGCCAGCCCAGGTGGGGTGGGGGACATGAAGCCCTAACTCGCACATCTGCCCCTAGGAGCCACCATGCAGTGCTTCAGCTTCATTAAGAACATGATGGTCTTCTTCAATACGCTCATCTTTGTAAGTATGGAAGTTGTGTGCCCTGTGGGGCTCCCTACAGGAGCAGGTCACCATTTGAACAGAGCCCAAGCTGGGGAATGGGAGACTACTGTGCCCAGACTTTGCCTTGCAAGTTTCCCTTATGAGAGGTCTTCCTTCAAATGCTGATTCCTGGACCCAGTAGAAGTGGGGCTGGGGGGAGGGGGGCCGTTTGAAGAAGGGAATGGAGAAGTTTTAGGACACTCCCTTCCTTCTAGGAAGCTTCAGCTCAGGTGTAGGGCAGGGCAAGATAGGCTAGCAGGAGTGATTCTCCCCTTTTTATAGGCATAGGGGGTTCTGAGAGGGGAAGGGATTCGCCTAAATTTTTCTAACATGGAAAGCAATTTCAGTGGCCTCTGTAAGTGGGAGGAGGGAGTTGAAAGGAGGCAGGGACCATGTCTCCTTAGAGCAAAGAGTCTGTCTCAGATAGCCCTTATTCATTCAACAAACACTCATTGATGGGGCTGAGGGTATAGCTTTGTAGTAGAGCTATAGCATCTATAAGGCCCTGTAGAGCACAGTAAAACAAAAACATTCTTTGACTAAGACTCTAGCCAGGTGCTCAGGTAGTAGGTGAGCAGGGCCATTTTCTACCCTCAAGGATATCAGATCCAGTAAGCCAAATAGGCAGATAACTGTGATGCAATGTATGTCTGGATTTAACACAGGGGATAAGGGAGCCTATAGGAAGGGCTAGAACCTAGCCTGGTGGGAGAATACTTCCTGGAGGACATAACTGGAGCTGGGAATTTGTATTGGGTGGGGAGCTATAAAGCATACATAAAACCCAAAGGAAATGAAACTTGATATTGTTCTGAAAACCAGGAACAGATTGCATAGGGCATGTTTGAGAAACTAAGCAATGAAACTGGCCAGTAAGCCCTGGAGATGAGGGTAGAGATAAGGAGAAATGGACAAAGTATACAAAGGACAAAAGCCCTGAGATGGTGGCTAAGGGATGAAAGAAGGGACAAGGAAGACAGAGATCTTAGAGATGATGCTTATGTCTGACATGAGCAACATGTGGAACAGGAAGGGAATATCTCACAAGCAACTGTCTACCCAGTGGCGATGCAGCTCAAATTGGAGCTTGCTGTGGATATTTGAAAGTCACGTGCCCATAGGTGGCCAATGAAGCCAGGGGACTGCAAGAGAGCACTTGGGAAAAGTGAACTCTGGGATTAGCTCAGTGGTAGAGCACTTGCTTAGAACACATGGGGCCCTGGGTTGTACCGTGAGTGGGGCGGGAAAGGTGACCTGTGAAAACAGATTATTAGGGATAAGCAGGGAAATAGCCACCATTAAAGAGATGGAGGAGGAGCAGTGGGAAAAGGAGGAGGAAAACAAGGAGAGTAAGATATCAGAAAGGTCAAGGAGATAAGGCCCGTGAAGTGATTTAGCACAGGAGGTCACTAGAGAACTCAGAGCTACATTATAGTAGGTTAGAGTGAGTAAAAGGTGAGGAAGTGGAGACATGAAACAGAAATCAGTTTGGAGAAATTGGGTGGGTAGACTCTGACTCCTATGTAGTCCATACCTCGTGTTTTCTTTGACTACAGAGAACTAGCTTTTATTCATATATCTGGAGGGAGCCATAGGATTCCAGGGATTGGGAGAGCAGAATCTTTTTGGCCTGAAGGGGTTAAAGGCAAATCCGGCTTGGTGTTTGGCCTCTGTTGCCCTGGCTTTGCCAGGCAGGGCTGAGTAGAGTAGGGCAGGCCTAGGCTCCTTGAAATTTGACCCCACAGGCTAGAAGCCCAGTGTTCTGGCTGTCCTTAGGCAAACATGCCTGAGATCCAGCCACAATCTGCCAGCTTATCCCTGATTCTAGCCTTGGTTTCTATAGCTAGAAGGTGGGGACTAGGCACTAAATTGATGTCAGGCTGATTCACCCATTGATAATCTGAGTCAGAGACGCTTTATGTTAGGAGCTGTGGGAACTGAACAGGACTTACCCCAACTGGCTCCTAGAATTCCCTATGAGGATTAGGGTTGAGCCGGAGCCCTTTAAGAGAAGCTAAGGCTGATTTCCCCCTCGGGTGTCCCAATTTCTATTTGTAAGGCAAGGGGGACTCTGTGGATAAAGAGAAGGTCTGGTGTCTGATCCCAGAAGGGAGCCAAATGAGACTTCAGGGTGGGTGAACCCTTTCAAGCTCCACCCTCTTCAAAGTAGGGAGCAGGTGCAAACTTCAGCCCCGCCTCTGTTACTATGGTGACTATTGAGCCTGCTCAAAGCTACCACCCCTGTTTCCACCTATTAGAGGACAGAGGTGTTTTAGGTGCTGGTAGCCCAGAAAAGAAATGAGAGATCCGGCCCTCACCTGCTTGTTTTCACTCTTGGATATGTGGCAGGACCCTAGCATCAGTAAGGGAAAGTCTTCTCTCTTCCCTGACCCTGTGGGTATTTCTAGTGCTCCTGATCTCATTTGTACTCAAGTGTGCAGTCTGGTGCTGGCTATGGGTTTCCCAAATCCCATCTTTCTGGCACTAGAGGATGTTTCCCTCCCCACATGATTCCCCAGCCAAGGAAGTGGGAGACATCCTCCTGACTCAACCGTATGATAGGGAGCTATTTGCCAGCATTGTTTGAATGCCTGCCTGACTTCTCTGTCCCCAGCTGTGTGGTGCTGCCCTGTTGGCTGTGGGCATTTGGGTGTCGGTTGATGGGCCATCCTTCGTGAAGATCTTTGGGCCGATGTCATCCAGTGCCATGCAGTTTATCAACGTGGGCTACTTCCTCATCGCAGCTGGAGCTGTGCTCTTTGTTCTTGGTTTCCTGGGCTGCTACGGTGCTAAGTCTGAGAACAAGTGTGCACTCATGACGGTGTGTCAGACCCAGTTCCACAGGTCTATGACCAAGGACCCCCTCACCTTGGGATCCCCAAATCCTACTTTGTACTCCAGGGATTTCCAATATAGGGGATCCCTGCCATGTTTTTACAGTAGGAGGGTGGGTTAGGGCAAAGAGAGCATGAGGGGCCATCTCTCCCTAAAACTCAGACCCCTGTTCCCCACTCAGTTCTTCTTCATCCTCCTCCTCATCTTTGTTGCTGAGATTGCAGCTGCTGTGGTTGCCTTGGTGTACACCACAATGGTGAGGCACTGAAATGGGTAAGGGAGGAAGACTGGGCAAAGCCCTGGGAGTGGGCTGTGGCCTTGTACATGGCCACCTTCCCTCCCAGTCCCTCAACATTGGCCTGCTCTACCTAGGCTGAGGAATTCCTGAAAATGGTGGTAGTACCTGCCATCAAGAAAGACTATGGTTCCCAGAAAGACTTCACCCAAGTGTGGAACTATACCATGGAAGGGGTAAGGCAGACTGGGGGGATTTTGGGGGTGGAGATAAAGAATCAAGGCCCCACCAAACACCTACCCCACCCTGCTTCCAGCTCAAGTGTTGTGGCTTCAACAACTACACGGATTTTGAGGACTCACCCTACTTCAAAGAAAACCAACTCTTTCCTCCATACTGTTGTATCAACAATATCAACAGAACAGCCGAAGAACCTTGTACCGTGTATGAGGCCCACAAAAACTCTGTACAGGTGAGGGGCATGGAAGGGCGGGGGCTGCTTTAATGGCCTCAGAGTAGCAAATAGGGATGAGGGGTAGGGTAGCTGCCAACTATAAATGCTCTCTCCCCTTTCCCAAGGGTTGCTTCAAACAGCTTCTGCATGACATTCGAACCAATGCAGTCACTGTGGGTGGTGTGGCCTTTGGAATTGGGGCCCTGGAGGTAAGGCAACAAGGAGGCTGGGGCTGGGGTACTGACCACCACCATACCTGGGCTGCTTGACTCATCTCTGAGGCCTCTCAGAAGAGACAGACATCCCCCCCCACCCCCCATGCTGGGAATTGAACCCAGGGTTCTGTGTGTACTAAGCACATGCTCTACCAGTGAGCTATATCCAGCCCAGGAGACAGACTTCCAACAGAGCTTCATGTAGGCTGTCTGGGGCGCAAGGGACCAATGCTTGAGGATCTCAATCATATCCCTCATCTCTCCCTGTTCCTTTCCCACCAGCTGGCTGCCATGATTGTATCCATGTACCTGTACTGCCATCTGAAATAAGTCCACTTCTGCCTCCGCCATTGCTGTTGCCACATGGGAACTGGGAAAAGGCACCATGGCACTAACAGTGTCACTGGGGCTGGAGTGGGCCTGCCCTTGCTGCTCTGAACTTGGGGCTAAATAGAAAACCACCCCTTTTAGGTTGGGACCCACCTGTTCCAGAGCCTTTAAGGTAGCCAATTCTTCTATTTCCTCAGTCTGTTTCTTCCAGCCTTAATACCCCCTTAGGCTAATGGGGGCTTTTGATGATCCCAGTCTCCACCGGAGGATGAGAGAAAGGGACCCATAGCCTGGGCATATTAAAAGTCAGCAGGATGTGTACAAGGCACTTCAAAACTGAAACACCAATTAAAATGTTTCTATTTGGACTCTGTGTATCCTTGGGGAGAGGGACTCAGCTTGCCTAAACCTCCTTCAGATTCCAGTGGGGCTGGCAACTCAGAAGCCCTTGGAAAAACTGTAGAAGGGAAGTGGGGGGGAGTTAGGTTCCAGGCCTGGGAGGGAGCCCAAGAGGGATAGGTAAAAGGGCAGTGAGGAAGTGAGAGCTGGGCCAGTCTGCCTTCCTAGAATGGGGTAGGACTTTGGCCTGAAATTTTCCCCCTCTGGGTGGGGGCACTGGACTGGAAAGCTATGAAAATAACCTTGTGCCCAGTCAAGGGAGAACAGAATTGTTACCAGGGCAATGGGAAAGTCACTCCTTAGACTCTGGGAAGCCCTCCAGTAGTGCCCATCAGAGGGTCCAAGCTGCCTTCTCACTTAGGCAAAGTCCTAGATTTGTTCCAGCTTTGGGGATCTTAGAAAGTAGTCCCCCACCACCTCCCACCCAGCATTGGGGAGGAAACCCCAGAACACTCTACTACTGAGCTAAATCCCCTATCTATCCATCTAGAGTCAAGGTCTCACCCATTTGCCAAGACTGACCTTGAATTGCTATCCTTCTGCCTCGGTCTCCCAAGTCACTGGAATTACAAGTGTGTACCACCACGCCTGCCCAGCAGACCTGATCTCTTATTTAGTCTTAACCATCCCTATGACCCAGGTAAGGAAACCAGGACTTAAAAAGGCCAAGTGACTTGCCCAAGTCCCACAGCTTTAGTGAAGAGATGAGTCTGGACTTGGACTTTGACTGACTTTAGAGCCTGGTGTGGTCCTGTTTGACATGATGGTAGTTTTACTTGAAGTAGCACCTGACCAGAATGTTCCTGAATATTGCTGAATAAGGCATGATATCACAAAGGAAGAAGGCTAACTGGGCACAGTGGCACATGCCTATAATCCCAGTGGCTCAGGAGGCTAAGGCAGGAATATTGGGAGTTCAAAGCCAGCCTCAGCAATTTAGCAAGGCCCTTAGCAACTTAGTGAGACCATGTTTCTAAATAAAATATTTAAAAAGGGCTGGGGATGAGGCTCAGTGATTAAGTGCCCCTGGGTTCAATCCTTGGTACTAGGGGGGATGGTGGTGATTGGGGGTGTCTTTCTTGTTTTCTCTCTCTCTCTCTACACACACACACACACACACACACACACACACACACACACACATATAAAGGAGGTAAGCGCTGACAGGAAGACAGTGTTTGCTACCAAGAAAAGCCTGACCCCATTAAACTCCTTCTTTGCTTTCCTTAGATGTTTTTATCTATCTCCCTAGGCTTTTCCAGGGCACCCCAGATTTACTACCCCCTTGTCAAAACCAGAAAGGAACAGCAACCCAGCCAGAGCCATAATGCCTGAGGTATGGTCTGTGAAGCCAGACCTAAAGCCTGCTAGTGTGCTAGGCAGAGAGAGGAATTAGCATACCTTAGCCCTTTACCACCCCACCACCCTACAGTCTCTCTCATATACTACCCCTCCCCCACGTATCCTGTGAGGAAGCTGCAGAGGATTTGTTTGCCCAGGGCGAGCCTCTACCTCATCACAGGCTAATTGCCCCTCAACCTGACTGTTTTGATACATCATATACTATCTCTAGCTCAAGCAAACACTGAAGGCGTCAGGATGGCGAGATATGTCCAAGCTATCTAAATGGTATCATTGCTGAGCTGGGCTCCAGGCACCGGTAGAGAGGCAGGACAGAGAACAAGGGAAAGAGTTCCAATAAGTTCCTGCCTTCCTGGCCAAGGCTCTATAACAGGCAGACCCTTTCTCAAGAGGTGTCCTACACTCAGATCCTGATCCTAAGCCCTTCATAGATCCTTTAAATGTCAAGTCCCCTTGCCTTGGACTATCACATACTCCCTCTGGACAATCCCACCTGTTTCCTGGAGACTGTCTAACTTAGATCTTCCTGCTCTTTGTCACTGGCTGGCTGAGTAAGAATCTGATGAAAACTATCACCCTCTTCTCCAGAAAAATACCAACATGACATTATTCATACAAAGTACCCTAAGACCAGACACCTTTGCTCCCACGCCTGTCTACAACCCAGTCCTAGCCCCCTGACTGATGCCTGCCTAGGATCCTCCCACGAAATCACCTCTTCAGGCCCCAGTGGCTGCCATTCACTGTTCCTGTCTCAATCACTTCCTTCCTACCCCCACTATGTTCACCTGCTCTCCCATCCCTCCCCCCCATCCCTTTTTCTGCTGCTCCATCTCTGGGGACAGGTGCAGGACCCATACAGCCAAAGTAGGAATATCCTGGTAAACAGTGGGGAAGGGGTGTGGGATGACTGCTTGAAGCTCAGCTCCAATTAGGGTGGGGCTGAAATCAGGCTGTCCTAAGGTGGAGCCTGGGGAGAAATCTTGGAATTTGAAACTTGGGCCTCCCCTGGTGGCCAAATGGGCCCAAATGGAAGATAAATCCTGTGAAATACAGTAGGCAAACCTATCATCCATTCAGATGATTCTCTCCCTCACCTCTCTGCCTCTCTATGCACTCCCAACATATACACGACACTTTCCCACAGGTTTTCTCCTTTTTTAATCAATGATCACCTTATCCAGCTTCAGAAACCTGGACAAAGAGGAAGCTGAGAGGAGGCCTGGTTCAGTGTCAGAGGGTCTCTGAGCAATTCTGTGTCAGCATATGGACCCTACCTGGGCCTGTTCATGGGTTGGGCACAGCAATTTCCTGAGTAAGAGCCAGTCCCACCCTCAGGGCAGTATTTCTGCCCCAAAAGGAATCAAAGCCCTACAGTTCTGGCCTATTTCCAAGGCTTCCAGGGCAGTCAATAAATAGGTTAGATTCTGAGCCAGGCCTGGGAGGAGGGGACGTACAAGGGGAAAGATCAGCTTCCCAGGGATCCCAAAGATTCCCAGGTACTGTCCTGCCCTTCTCTGACAAGGAAGTAAATAAATAGACCTTAAACTCAACAACAGGGGAGCCCTCCCCTTCAAGTTAGTAATTAAGTCTCATGTTAAAAACAAACCAGCCCCAGCCCCTACCAGCATCTACAAAATCCTAAAGGATGGGGTGAAGGGCTAGCCTGCCTGGGGGTACACAGTACCCAGCCCTGCAGGGTCCTGGAGGTCTCATGTCTGTTCAGCGGCTCCCGGGGCTCCCTCCTCCTTTGGGGGTGGCTCCAGGAAAATTGGGGTGACTGATGGTGGCTTCTTCACTCTGGAATAATAAAAGAATTATACATAGAGAAGAGCAATGTCCCTCAATCCCATTAAGCCCCCATTTCCCAAGATAAAACAGGGTCACTCACGAGTAAGGGGAGGCTGGGACCCCCACCACCAGGAAGTGGTTCTTCTTCCGAAATAATCTCCATAGACCCCGGTGGTTGCCACGTACATCCAGGTCCCAGATATGGAGGCACTAGCAGAGGGGGAAGGGAGAAACATGGTTCAAGGAGCTGAAGGGCCACTGAGGACCCAGCAGCCACCTCAATCTGCAAGAGGTGGCATCTTCTGGACCATGAATTTGGACAAGGGGATAGAAGAGAGGTTCTGAGAGAATGGAAAAGGTCCTGAGATTGAAGTCTCCAGAACAAAGGCTCCCTGAATCTTGGAGCATGGGTTGGGGGAAAGTGTAGTGTTAGGGCACCTTGGCAAGCTGGGTCCATGTGGTGAAGTCATCCTCTTTCTCCATTCGGATAAAAGCCACATAAGTGTGGCCCTCTGTGTCTGGCAGGAAGGAGTCTTCACAAGGGTTCTTGCTGTGGTCCAGAACTTCAGCCTCACTGCAGTGGAGGGTGCAAAGGTAAGGCCAAGGCAGAGCATGCTTTGGGGTATGTCTCACTGGGTCCTGGGCTTAGTTTAATGCTCTGCTGTTGTCATCTTGAAAAAAAATTTTTTTTTAGAGAGTTTTTTGATATTTATTTTAGTTTTCGGTGGACACAACATCTTTGCTTGTATGTGGTGCTGAGGATCAAACCCGGGCCGCACGCATGCCAGGCGAGTGTGGTACCGCTTGAGTCACATCCCCAGCCCCTGAAATTCTTAATAACAACTAGGGACGCTGATTTTCATTTTGCATAGAGACCCACACATAATGGAGCCTAAAATCCCAGTATTTAACTCCTTACCCCAGCCAAATGTGCCAATTGCCCAGGGTCATACCTGAGTAACCTGTGAATTTCCACTTCATAAGCATCTTTCTTCAAACTGGAGAGGAGGGAGAAATGTGTCAAGGGAGGAGGGGAGCAGGTCCTCAGGTCCCATGGGTATAGCAATAGGCAGGGCAAGGGGTCACATGAGCAAAGGAGGCAGCAGGACTGGGATAAATACACAGGTCCTAGGTCTGGAAGGGACCAAGGACAAGTCATCAGGTCTCCTAGATCTTCCCCTTGTCCTGCTGCCAGCCCCCACCTGTCCACATTCCGAAGCTGGACACCAGGAACCGTGTTGAACTTGTGCTTCTTGAAGTAGGCCTCCTGGAGTGGGTGTGAGGGTGAAAATCAGGGCCTCACAATGTCTGGCCTACACCTGCTCACTGACCCACCACAGATCTACAAGACCCACACATGAAGTCCTAGGTCTGGAAAGGGCCCTCTGAGTTCCTCCCGACTCTTTGCAGCATCCTTGGCAAGCTCTAACTACTTTAATTTGGGCTCCACCATTGTTGGAGAGCTCATGCTGACAAGGCAGCTCATGCTAGT